ATTCAAAAACTAGAAACAAACCGACTAAAGTTGAATTTCAAGAAAAACCAAACAAGAATGTATTCATATTCCAAGAAATTATGAGCATACATTCTTACAAGGAGTTTTAGAAAATGTATTATCTTATAACTTAATCAGAAATTATTATTTATAAGATATTATTGAGTATTAAGAATAGAATTTGTCTTGTGATCTAGTAACAATAACTTCCATTTCCAATGCTTCTTTCTTCATTGACAACAACATATCGTTACGATCTTTCGAAAATAATTGATTAATGTCCCTCTTCACGTCTCTTACGAAATATATGTATAACACATCTTTAACGATTTAAACTATTAAATAATTACCATCAATTTGCAATCTTCCTATCCATTCTTCTAGATATAATTGGGATATTCATTTCTCTCTCTCTCTTTTCTTGATCTAAATAGAATATCCACGTCTTTTTTTCTTCGTGGAATATACGATCCTTTTTTTATCTATTTGGAATATCAGTTCTTCTTTTTTTTCCTTGATTTAATTGGAATATCAAAAGGGTAAGTGGTTTCAAACTTTGATTGAAGATCAAAATTTCTCTTGGCTGGCTTTTGTCCTTTGTAGGGACATGAATTCTTTATTTAATCATAAGTGGTAAGTGACGGTGTGATGCATGTTCAAGATTGTGCCTCTCACTCTTATATTTGGGAAACATAAACCGAAATTATAATTATTAAAAATTAAATTCTTTAGCTTTTTAATAATTAATTTGTTTAATTCCACATAATATAGCGTACATGATAAGTCTGTGTTGATATTTCAAAATTAGTAGTAAAGTTATCAAATGCGATAAATAAGAAGTTTGATTAAACAACGAAATTCTAGTATGTCTAAATTTTCAATATAATTTGCCACTATTGGAAAAGAAAAGTGGGGAATATTATACAGAATATTTACATCATACAACAATTCTTAAAGATTAGAAGTGCTTGTAATTTGATCAAAAGTATTTTGTACATTTCAAGCATTTGTTGGTTCATTTAAAATAAGTTCACACATAAAGTTAGTGAATGCATATTTGGACAAGCATAAAGTTTCTTCTCGTGATATGGTAAACAAGGATACCTCTTAAACACTAATTTTCGCTTATATCTACTTTTCAATTATCCTTCTTTGTCCCTCCACCTCGTCTCAACTCATGAACTTACAACCTCATCTACCACTACAACAAAAACAGTCATTTGCAACGTTCAAAAACGTTGCCAAAGACCTTTTGCAACATTCGAACGTATGTTGCAAACCTCGATATTGTCGTAAAGTAGAAGGATACGGCAACGTTTTTTAAATGTTGCTAATAACCTTTTACAACATTTTTAAAATCTTGCGAATACTCTTTTTGTAACACTTTTTGAATGTTGTTAATTACCTTTTTGTAACGTTTTTTGAATGTTCCGAACAACTTTTTTGCAACATTTTTTTAATGTTGCTAATTACCTTTTTGCAACTTGCAACTTTTTTTACCGTTGTTTATACTTAATTATATCCTTAGTTTTTGCAACATTTTTTGACCATCGTTGTAAGTCTTTTTACATTTTTTTTAAAAAACAAAATTGTATTCTATTTTTGCATCTATTTACACAAATCAACCACAAAAATAAAAAGGACTTTTGGACTTGTATGAAATTAATATAATTTCATTAATTCATAGTAAGAACATGTTCGATACATGGATAGACGAAAATAATATATGTACATTCTACAGCCAACGAGGATAACATATATCCATTTGATGAAATGTTGATAGTAAGATAAACGAGCACGAAAAGGCTAAAATCGCCAAGTTTAATACGTTTACATCTCGATGGTTTAGATATTCACTCAGTTGAAGTTTGGCCAACTTGACATTACCTAATATAGCGTACCACTTGCCTTAAACTCCACCCAACCATCAAAACTTACGGTGCAAAATCCAAAATGATGCGCAAAAATCAATATTACTTTCCACTGTTGTGTTTAGCCTTTGAAAGTATGCTCAGAATTAAATGTCCTGCAACGGAAAATCCAAAAAACATATGAGAGTCCATTGTGTTATTTATATAAAAATTCCAGGTAATAATGGCTTCAAAACATACCTGTTGCAGCTCTTGCAAGCATGTGATCCGGTTGATTTTGGTGTATGCTGGTTTGGCTTGTTGGCAAGAGTTTTTTTGGTCTGTTTAGGGGGTGGGGTGTGGCAACATGAATCATTAAGGAAACAATTTCACTTTTAGAATTTAACTCTAGAAATTTAAATCACTAAACTTATCGAAGTCCAATCTGTCCAACAGTGGACATGCTTCCTCTTGTTTTAGTCCTTTCTCCAAATTCCTCAATTTAGAGTCAGCGTCTCTTAGTCATTTAGAGAAGAG